GCCATCAGTCCAACTCCGTACTACAACAAAACAAACATGTCCAGACTAAAAAACGTTTTCCAAATCACCAAAAAATAAAGCCATAATTGCAACGTAACAGTGATCACAACGACTGTGACCGAATTTTTACAATAACCTACATAAATAACATGTAACACCAAACCCTAGAGCCATAGCTGGCTGCATGAGTTACTCCACAACAACAGAAGCATCGGTCGGAGTATCAAATTTTTCAATGCACCTTTAAGATCAGCACGCCAAATCAAAATACAGATAATACTTTGCAGCGTCATCCGGAGCGAAACATTTTATTTTATTTTACGCCAATGAATAGCAGTGGCAGCTAGGTGTGTACAACTCCTCTAGAGCAGTTTTGAGAGTAGATCTCATTGGTAGCGATTCAAGTTGCAGTTTATTGGCAATAGCATTCCAGACTCTGGGGGCATCAATAGCAAAGGCCCTTCCTCCAGTTTTTGTACGGCAATAGGGAATGTGAAGCTGGTAAATGAGCGAAGACCTGAGGTCAAATTTGTTCTTTGAAACAGAAAGGATATCCAGCAGGTAGTCTGCGGATTTTTTTGTAAGTACATCATGAATAAGATCTGGTGCACAAGCTGTCGAACATTAAGAGATGTTAAGTTTGACCCAATGTAGAGATCACAGTGGCGAGTCCTATATGAGCAGTTCAATGTAAATCTTAAGGCCGAGTGATAGATGGAATCAAGCTTCTTCAGTACAGTACTTGGGGCTGATTTATACACGATGTCACAGTAGTCAATTAGAGGCAGTATGGTAGCTTTTATCAATTCCAAACGGATCATTGGAGGGAAGCAGTGCTTGTGTCGATACAGAAAACCAATTTTTATTTGTCTTTTTACCAATATAATCAATGTGATATTCAAAATTCAGTTTTGAATCCAGGATGACCCCAAGATACTTATAGATCTTGACTTGCTCTATTTGACAATTATTTAAGGAATGTAATTGGGGAAAAATAACTTCCTGCTTTAGTCCTGTTGAGAAGCATAGCACCTTGGTTTTGGAGGTATTCAGGACTAGTTTAAGAGCAACTAGCTGATGTTGTAGTTTGTTGAAATCACCCTGGAGCTTAGCAATCACGTCATCTGGAGAGCGGCCAGCAGTAATCAGTATCGTATCTTCTGCAAAAAGATTTACCCTGGAATGATCCAGGTCAGTGCCCAAGTCATTGACATAAAGAGAGAACAAGAGGGGGCCGAGGATGGAACCCTGTGGAACCCCTTTTGTTATCTTAACACTGTTTGACCTCCAACCATCTGTGAATACAGTTTGGGTGTGAGAAAAGAGGTAATTTTTTTAACCATTTTACTGTGTTTTTGGAAAAACCGAGGCAACTTAGTTTACCAAGCAGGGTGTTGTGGTCTACTGTATCAAAAGCTTTGGACAGGTCAAGAAAAAGACAGGCACAGTACAGCTTATTATCAAGGCTACTGTAAATTTGATTCAGAGAGTCTAATGCAGCAGATGTGGTGCTGTATTTTTTTCGGAACCCAGATTGTTTTAGATGTAGTAGATTGTTGGTGGACAGGAAACTGCTAATTTGGTAGTTCAATAATTTTTCATAAATTTTCATCAACGGGGACAAAATTGAGATAGGTCAGTAGTTGTCTGGATCATCTTTAGGGCCCCCTTTGTGAAGTGGACGGACATAGGAATGTTTCCATTCTAGAGGAACTGATGCTTCTTTGATGGACAGGTTGAAAATGTGGGCTATAGGTTTGTATATTAGGTGACCAACAGTTAGTAGAGCAAAGATGGGAAAACTATCTGCTCCGGTAGAGGAGGACCCTTTGAGGTAGGAAAGCTGTTTCAGAACATTACTTTCGTGGATTGGCTGGAAACTAAATTCGTTTAATGTTTGGACAGGGGTGTAGGAATTTGCATGAGCAGGGGTGACTCCCAATACATTATCAAAAAGATTACCAGCTTCAGAAAAATGAAGGTTAAAATTGTCAACAATTTTTTGGGGATCTGAAAAATATTCCCTATTTCCATTAATCTCAACGAGCAGATTGTCTGTTTTGGATGCCTTTTCGATAGATTTGATTGTTTTACAAAAAATCCTGGCATTTCCATGCGATTCCAGGAAAGTAGGCATTTTTTTCATGCCGTATTTTTTTGATACATCTATTCCTTAAAATCCTGTATTCTAGCCAGTCATTTACCAAATTACTTTTCTGAGCACATGCCCAAGCCTTGTCCCTAGTTTTCATGAGCTTTGTAATCAAAGGATCATACCATGGTGGGCGGTTGCCTTTAGTTTTAAATCTAACCAACGGAGCATGTTTGTTAAGAATTTGGAGAAATGTGTACCTGAAAGTCTCCCAAGCCGTAGTCAGGTTGGGGATATCACAGACCTTATCAATATCCGAGTGAAGCACACCATTTGTAAATGCCTGAGTGCTGAAGTGCCTCAAAGAGTGCTTCTCAACAATTTTAGGGGGGCTTTGGGTCTGGCTGATGATTTCACCCCAAAAATGAAGGAGTGATCACTAAGGTTATTACCCAGAACATCAGTCAGTGTGAAATTGTGAGGGGCATTTGTCAATAGGATGTCAAGCAGAGTTGACTGTTCCGGATTTTTTAGATTGGTTCTTGTGGGGACATTTATTAATTGAAACAGGTTAAATTCATCTGTAAAATTTGTGGCCACGGCCGGCGGATTTAGCCAATTCCAATTTAGATCACCCACTAAAACTATTTCACCTTTAGGGAGGCCCCCAAAAAACTCTCTCAGTGCCGATGCAGCTTCAACATCCTTCCCACAAGGGTGTCTATAGTAGCACACTACCAATATCTGTTATTTGGGAGAGTTATTCTGAGAGCCAAACCTTCAAAGCAACATTTTTTAAACAAGGAGTGAGCTGGTGAACATGCAATAGTATTACGAACATAGATGGCAATGCCACCTCCTTTAGATCCTCGGTCAAGCCAAAAAAGGTTGTAGTTTTCAATCGTAATCTGCAAGTCATTGACGGCAGGAGTGAGAAATGTTTCTGTTAGGAAAAAAATGTCCCAGTCAAGATTTGCCACTTCTAGTTTTAGTTGACTTAATTTAATCACAAGCCCTCTGATGTTGACATGTAGAACACCAACACCTTTCCTGCCAGAAAAATCTACAGAATTATACGAGTTATTTTCATTTGGGCCAGGATGATGCTCAATACCACCCAGAAATAAGAAAAGTAGAATTAACAGTTTGCACAAGTATTTTCTGTGAAAGGATAAAGAGCGGCGAACCTTGGACGAATAGCAGTAGCTCGCAGATGGTGTTATTTTTAAGAGCAGAATGAAGTTTGGAAGGAGTGCTGGTGAAGTAATGGGACAAAGATAGGGTTTAAAAGGATACAATGATGGAGTGTAGAAGTGTCTATGAGCTGTTTCATTTGCAGGTGTAGTGGCAAATCGAGCAACAAGTATTGACGCAAAATAACGAGGGTAGCCGTTTGTGGAGTTGAGTGTGGCACTAGATATGGCCGGGAGGGACAGTAGTATGATACGGAGCATCGGGAGCTTGCGTGGAGGCGTCGTTTGTGTGCAATTTTTGTCGTAACTTTCCTGGCCCAAGGCCGTAAATGGTTGTGAGGGGCGCCGCAGGCGGTCAGGCTTGCTTCAACCCTTGGTTGTGAACATCCAGACATTAATCAGCAAGGAGCATTTCACGTCCTAATTCGACAAAATCTACGTCAACACGTAATACAAAATTATAATTCGTGTTGTAGAGAATGTATCTCCTCTATGTGTAACTTTTGAGTGGTATGCCGTGTTATTGATGAATGATCAGAGTGTGCTCCCTATTTCAAAGACAATGAGTTGCTCCAGAGGGAGAAGCTTCCTGAAACATAAAAATACCCTTTGACCTGTATCACAAGAACAATGAGTCTCACCTGAGTTATCTGTACAGATTACTTCCAAAACAGACTTTGTCCTAACATCACTTGTTCAATGTTTGACCCTTTTACACAAAATATTACATGTACGTACACAATCAGACAAGTATTCATTCTAAATAAATGAGTCATTTTAAATTTGTTCATTACTGCACTGAAATATACTGCATCAGGTTACATCGCATTAACAAGAAGCTATTTAAAAAACATATGCACCATCTGCTTAACAGTGTATGTACAACATACTATTTCGCCATTCAAAACCATTGCATGCTGGCGTCTGGGTCAAAATTGATCAAATTCTAAACATTACCTACAAAGTCCACATCCAAGATGCCACATCAACCATCGCCCCCTACTGACAGGCTCTTGTCCACATGCAGGCCGGTGCAGGGCCACCACCTTGTGCCACAGGGGCAGCTGCTACTTGTGGATCATTTTCGAGTGTTTGAGACAAAATACGATACAAAACTCCGAATTTCAAGAGGCGATTAAGCATGCACCATATAAATGGAATTATTAGAACCTTGTGAATGCTTGAGAGCTTATTGGCTCTCGCTCATGGATAGAGATCTGCCCAACCCACAGGTCCACAAGAACTGTCCGCTTTTACCCTGCAGGTTTAACCGAGGAATTGAGTGTTCAACTTCACATTCTTGTCATTAAAGGCCTGTGAAAAAAGGTGCATCTATTGGAGCGACATCGTCTCAAGCTTACACATCTACTGGGTCTCCATTTGACTTTGTATTGTCTCGGAAGTCCACCCACACCTCCACTTCCACAAACTGCTGGGAGTTGCCTCGCTCTGCCTCGCAGTTAGAATTCTCCTCCTGCTTCACGTTGCCTCCATCGATGTGAAGGTCCGATTTTTGAGTTGAATCTTCATCTTCACATTTTACCCTCACTTCTACGCTCCTCACCATCACTTCTTCACATTTCACCTTCACTTCTTCATATTTCACCTCGATACATTTAAAAGTGTCCAAGCTGGGATTTTCTTCCAGTTCTTGTTTCATGAGGGATGGGCTCATTGCGGCACTTTGACTTCCACAAGCTGATTTCAGACTCCACTCCTTGTGGATCTTCTGATGCTTGTGTGTTCTCTGGTGTACATGAAGATTTGATGAACGTGAAAATGCCTTCCCACACACACTGCACTTGAAGGGTTTCTCTCCCGTGTGAGTTCTCTGGTGTCTTTGAAGATTTGATGAATCTGAAAACGCCTTCCCACACACACTGCACTTGAAGGGTTTATCTCCCGTGTGTGTTCTCTGGTGTGTTACAAGACTAGTTGACTGTGCAAACGCCTTCCCACACACACTGCACTTGAAGGGTTTATCTCCCGTGTGTGTTCTCTGGTGTGTTACAAGAGTAGTTGACTGTGCAAACGCCTTCCCACACACACTGCATTTGAACGGTTTCTCTCCCGTGTGAGTTCTCTGGTGTATAACAAGAATATATGAACGTGAAAACGCCTTCCCACACACACTGCACTTGAAGGGTTTCTCTCCTGTGTGTGTTCTCTGGTGTCTTTTAAGAAGTGATGACTCTGCAAATGCCTTCTCACACATACTGCACTTGAAGGGTTTCTCTCCTGTGTGTGTTCTCTTGTGCTGAGTCAAACTTCTAGTATGATCCGTGCTGTATGCACACTGGTCGCATTGATGCCTTTTTGCACCGAGCTGTGCCGAGTGCCTTTGCTCCATCAGACCAATTAGCAGAGGAAGCAACAGAGGAAGTGTCAGCTGCAGACAGAAAAAAAGGTATCCACACAATCTACACAACAGTACACAGTCACACGTAACTTACACATCTATACTTATATATTCATATCATGAAAAAGTGTCCCAAATTCATCACACGGGCGGTTATGGTACTCAATGAGAGGGCAAATGGTCATATACGTGCCTCGAAGCCCTCGAATCTTCAAAATGAATGTTAACCCAAAACTCACTCAATTTCGGCTGTCTGGCCTCAAAAGGAATATTTATGAAAGCTAAATTCAGCTGACATAGCAAAGGGTATGGAAAAATACGATTTGTGTTATGCATAAACGCATATATTAATGTTCAATCACAACTTAGAGGTGTGAAGCCAGGCACAGATGTCCTTGGATGCTGGGATGAACAGCTCCGACTTCAGCTGCACGTGTGCTGTGATAACTACCTGGCTCAATAGAACTAATATATTTTACTACAAATACAAACTTGACCCTGTCACACACTGGCATGGCAAACAGTTGGTGGTGTGTCCAGACGCATGCCTGGCCACCTTCATCCGCTCATTATTAATGCTTCCTTACTCCACCAAGTAATTAATTGAAGGTCAATCAACATCGCCGAGGCTGCGTGTCTCTCTCTACATGTGGTGAGATGTTAACTACCTCTCCTGGCATACAGGAAGTCGTGGGTTGGATCCCGACCCTGGCGCCTGCTGTATATTTGGAGTTTACGTGTCTCTCTCTCTCTCTCCCTGTGGCCGCGTGGATTTCCCTCCGGATCCCCCAGTTGCCCCCACTCCACATGCAGAGTGAACACCGCCATGCGTCTAGAGTGAACACCGCCACGCGTCTAGAGTGAACACCGCCACGCGTCTAGAGTGAACACCGCCACGCGTCTAGAGTGAACACCGCCATGCGTCTAGAGTGAACACCGCCACACGTCTAGAGTGAACACCGCCACGCGTCTAGAGTGAACACCGCCATGCGTCTAGAGTGAACACCGCCACACGTCTAGAGTGAACACCGCCACACGTCTAGAGTGAACACCGCCACACGTCTAGAGTGAACACCGCCACGCGTCTAGAGTGAACACCGCCACGCGTCTAGAGTGAACACCACCACGCGTCTAGAGTGAACACCACCACACGTCTAGAGTGAACAGCACCAAGTGTCTAGAGCAGTGGTTCTTAACCTGGGTTCGATCGAACCCCAGGGGTTCGGTGAGTCGATCTCAGGGGTTCGGCAGAGCCCCCGCCACGGAGGTCCGGACACACTTGAATTATTGTGTAAATTTGTGATGACACACACGGCCCGCTTGGCCATCACTGGCTGCAGATGATCATGCTACACTGCTTGGCCAATCAGCGCTGCGGGGAATTTAGTGCGTACTCAGTAGTCAACGTGTGACTGTTGTTGTCGTACGTCGTGTGATTTCTTTAATATTTTATCCATACTAACTATGTCGGGCAAAAGAAGAAAGTGGTCGGACGAATATGTACAACATGGATTCTCATGTATCACGGAACGTGATGGGAGTGAGCATCCTATCTGCATGATTTGCAACGCCAAGTTGAGCAACTCTAGTCTTGCACCGGCAAAACTAAAGGAACACTTCTTGAAGCTGCATGGAGACGGGGAATACAAGAACACAACACTTGCTGAATTCAGGGTGAAGAGAGCCAGATTCGATGAAAGGGCCACTCTGCCTGCTCTTGGATTTGTACCTGTTAACAAACCGATCCTGACAGCATCGTACGAAGTTGCTTACCTGATCGCAAAGCAGGGCAAGCCACACACCATTGGTGAAACACTTGTGAAACCAGCTGCATTAAAGATGGCGAATCTGATACTCGGAACAGCGGCCGAAGGTAAATTATCCCAAATTCCCCTTTCAAATGACACCGTCAGTGACAGAATAGAAGACATGAGTAAAGACATCTTGGCTCAAGTAGTCGCGGATCTGATTTCAAGCCCGGCAAAATTCAGCCTTCAACTCGACGAAACCACAGACGTTTCTGATCTAAGCCAGCTTGCTGTTTTTGTACGCTATGTGAAAGACGACATGATAAAAGAAGAGTTTTTATTTTGTAAGCCTCTTACAACAACAACGAAGGCAGCCGATGTGAAGAAGCTTGTGGATGACTTCTTCAGAGACAACAATCTTTCATGGGATATGGTTTCTGCAGTTTGTACGGACGGAGCTCCAGTCATGCTGGGAAGAAAGTCTGGTTTTGGTGCGCTAGTAAAGGCCGATGCACCACACATCATTGTGACGCATTGTATTCTGCACAGGCATGCGTTGGCAACAAAAACCTTACCTCCAAAAATGGCAGAAGTATTAAAAACTGTGATGGAATGTGTGAACTATGTGCGAAAAAGTGCTCTGAGGCACCGCATCTTCAGTGAGCTGTGTAAAGAAATGGGCTCTGAATTTGAGGTACTTCTGCTCCATTCTAATATTCGGTGGTTATCCCGGGGACAGGTGCTCAATCGTGTTTTTGCCATGCGTGTGGAATTAGCCCTGTTATTGCAAGAGCACCAACACTGCCATGCAGATTGCTTCAAAAATCCTGAGTTCATTCTCATTTTAGCGTACATGGCTGATATATTCGCAGCTCTCAATCATCTCAATCAGCAGATGCAGGGTGGTGGAGTCAATATCATGGAAGCGGAAGAACACCTGAAGGCTTTTCAAAAAAAGCTACCGTTATGGAAACGACGAACAGAGAACAATAACTTCGCAAACTTCCCGCTTCTGGACGACTGTGCAAGTAAGATCGAAGATGTGTCTGGAATCGGAGATATTTCTGTATCCACGGAACTGAAGCAAACAATTGCCACGCACTTAGATGAGCTTGCAAAGTCTCTCGACGGATATTTCCCTACAAGAGTCATATCCAGCATGGGTGAGACAGCCGTTCACGATTGCTGTTGAAACAGCAGATGTCAATGATGAATTCCTCAACGAAATCATTGAAATTCAGCAGAGCCAGGTTCAACAGCAACTCTTCAGAACAACAACGCTCTCAACGTTTTGGTGTCGACAAATGAACAAGTATCCAGTTATTGCTAAGAAAGCCCTGGATTTTTTTATACCATTTGTTACAACATATCTTTGTGAGCAATCCTTTTCGAGGATGCTGGACATAAAAATGAAGAAAAGGAACAGACTTTGCTGTGAAAATGACATGAGAGTGGCACTTGCCAAGGTGAAGCCACGCATATCTGAACTGATCTCTCAAAGGCAACAGCAGAAGTCACATTGATTTCCAGGTATGTAATTTGTTGTGAGTTTATGCATTGTGTTGGTTTTATTATTTGAACAAGGTAATGTTCATGCACGGCTCATTTTGTGTACCAGTAAAAAACATATCTATGTCTTGAATTTGAAAAAAATCACATTTTATTTTTCACTAAAGAGGGGTTCGGTGAATGCGCATATGAAACTGGTGGGGTTCGGTACCTCCAACAAGGTTAAGAACCACTGCTCTAAAAGATTTGATTTATCAAATCTTTCCAATGATTGCTAAGATAGAATCCATCCATTTGATAAATCATTTCAGTTCTTGATTGATTGTTCACGCTTACAGTGGCTTTCAGACAGCATACATTATAAAAAAAATTCGTCTCCCCCCTCCTCTTTTCAAAAAAATAGATGGACTAGTCCTGGGCAAACTTCCAATCGCTGCGCGTGACGCCAACGTTTTTTATAAATAAATAAATGTGCCGTTTTAAAAATAAATGTATGCAAACCGACACACCTGATGATGACCGTTTGAGTTATGGTCGAAACGTCGTGAGAATATTTTATTGTTTTATATATATTTTGTTATTTTGTTGTTTCTCTTCAACGTGACTTTACCGAAAAAACTAAGAATATGAATTACTGCAGTCACGAAAGCTTTAAATCAAAATTTACAATTATCTAATTCAAAATAATACAATTCAAAGTTGTTTCATTTTAAATCGGGAGCTTGCGTGGAGGCGTCGTTCGTGTGCAATTTTTTTCGTGACTTTCCTGGCCCCAGGCCGTAAATGGTTGTGAGGGGCACCGCAGGCGATCTGGCTTGCTTCAAGCCATGGTTGTTAACATCCAGACGTTAATCAGCAAGGGCCATTTCTTGTCCTAATTCGAGAAAATCTACATCAACATGTAATACAAAATTATAATTCGTGTTGTAGAGAATGTATCTCCTCTACGTGTAACTTTTGAGTGGTATGCCTTGTAACTGATGAATGATCCGAGTGTGCTCCCTATTTCAAAGACAATGAGTTGCTCCAGAGGGAGAAGCTTCCTGAAACATAAAATACCCTTTGACCTGTATCACAAGAACAATGAGTCTCACCTGAGTTATCTGTACAGGTTACTTCCAAAACACACACTTTGTCTTAACATCACTTATTCAATGTTTGACCCTTATACACAAAATGTTACATGTACGTACACAATCAAACAAGTATTCATTCTAAATTATTGACAGGCATCTGAACAAAATTGAATTACAGGTGCACCCCAAGCCTGTTCCCACCCCCCCCCCCCCCCCCCGCTTCTGTGTATATGCAAGATGTGCTGTTTTGAGCTGCCGCAAGATGAGCTGCCACTCTCCTTTTGCTCCCCCCCCCCAACCTTATTTCCTATTTAAGCTTCTGTTCACCTCTCTCTCTCTTTGCCTCTCCGTCTTTCCTACTGACCATGTACCTCGTATTTTCACTCTGTCTATGCTGGTTTGTGCAATCCAGAAGTTGAACACGAAATTTAACACTTCTGAAATTCGTGGTCCGCCAGGAAGTGTCTGTGTTGTTGGCCAGACTGGTTGTGCTTCACATGTTTTTTAGGTTTGTTAAATTCTCGTCTCTCATCTTTTTTACCTCCATGATTTGTTCTTGCCATGATTTGTCCTTGACACCTGGTGAAGATCGCTTGTGTTGTGATCTAAACGTCGTGATTGTTTTGTATTTAATATAATTTTATTGTATTTCTACATACGTGACTTTACCGAAAAAACCAATGAGTAAGGTTACATCGCATTAACAAGAAGCTATTTAAAAAAAATATGCACCGTCTGCTTAACAGTGTATGTACAACATACTATTGCGCCAAAACGAGTTGGCCATTGCATGCTGGCGTCTGGGTCAAAATGTATCAAATTCTAAACATTACCTACAAACTACACAACCAAGATGCCACATCAACCATCACCCCCTACTGACAGGCTCTTGTCCACATGCAGGCCAGTGCAGGGCCACCACCTTATGCCACACAGGGGCAGCTGCTATTTGGGGGTGCTCTTCGAGTGTTTGAGACAAGATACGATACAAAACTCCGAATTGCCAGAGGCGATTAAGCAACCACCATATAATTGGAATAATTAGAACCTTGTGAATGCTTGGGAGCTTATTGACTCTTGCTCATGGTTAGAGATCTACCCAACCCACAGGTCCACAAAGACTGGCCGCTCTTACCCTGCAGGTTGAACCTAGGAATTGAGTGTTCAACTTTATTGTTGTCATTAAAGGCCTGTGACAAAGGTGCATCTATTGGAGCGACATCGTCTCAAGCTTACACATCTAACGGGTCTCCAATTGACTTCGTATTGTCTCGGAGGAAGTCCACCCACACCTCCACTTCCACAAACTGCTGATAATTGCCTCGCTCTGCCTCAGTCAGAATTCTCCTCCTGCTTCACGTTTCCTCCATTAATGTGTCGGTCCGACTTTGGAGTTGAATCATCTCCACATTTTACCTTCACTTCTTCGCTCTTCACCATCACTTGTTCATATTTCACCTCTATACCTTTAAAAGTGTCCAAGCTTGGATTTTCTTCCGGTTCTTGTTTCATGAGGGATGGGCTCATTGCGCCACTTTGACTTCCACAAGCTGATTTCAGACTCCACTCCTTGTGGGTCTTCTGATGCTTGTGAGTTCTCTGGTGTCTTTGAAGTTGTGGTGACTGTGCAAACGCCTTCCCACACACACTGCACTTGAAGGGTTTCTCTCCCATGTGTGTTCTCTGGTGTACATGAAGATTTGATGAAAGTGTAAACGCCGTCCCACACACACTGCACTTGAAGGGTTTCTCTCCTGTGTGTGTTCTCTGGTGTTTTTTAAGAGTAGATTAATGTGCAAACGCCTTCCCACACACACTGCACTTGAAGGGTTTCTCTCCTGTGTGTGTTCTCTGGTGTTTTACAAGAGCAGATGAATCTGAAAACGCCTTCCCACACACACTGCACTTGAAGGGTTTCTCTCCTGTGTGTGTTCTCTGGTGTTTTACAAGAGCAGATGAATCTGAAAACGCCTTCCCACACACACTGCACTTGAAGGGTTTCTCTCCTGTGTGAGTTCTCTGGTGTGTTACAAGAGTAGATGACTGTGTGAACGCCTTCCCACACACACTGCACTTGAAGGGTTTATTTCCCATGTGTGTTCTCTGGTGTTTTACAAGAGTAGATGAATTTGAAAACGCCTTCCCACACACACTGCACTTGAAGGGTTTATCTCCTGTGTGTGTTCTCTGGTGTGTTACAAGAGTAGATGAACGTGCAAACGCCTTCCCACACACACTGCACTTGAAGGGTTTCTCTCCTGTGTGAGTTCTCTGGTGTGTTACAAGAGTAGATGACTGTGTGAACGCCTTCCCACACACACTGCACTTGAAGGGTTTATTTCCCGTGTGTGTTCTCTGGTGTTTTACAAGAGTAGATGAAATTGAAAACGCCTTCCCACACACACTGCACTTGAAGGGTTTATCTCCTGTGTGTGTTCTCTGGTGTGTTACAAGAGTAGATGAACGTGCAAACGCCTTCCCACACACACTGCACTTGAAGGGTTTCTCTCCCATGTCTTCTCTCGTGTGGTACAAGAGCAGATGAATCTGCAAACGCCTTCCCACACACACTGCACTTGAAGGGTTTCTCTCCTGTGTGTGTTCTCTGGTGTGGTACAAGATCAGATGAATCTGCAAACGCCTTCCCACACACACTGCACTTGAAGGGTTTCTCTCCTGTGTGTGTTCTCTGGTGTTTTACAAGAGCAGATGAATCTGAAAACGCCTTCCCACACACACTGCACTTGAAGGGTTTCTCTCCCGTGTGAGTTCTCTGGTGTACTTGAAGATGTGATGAATGTGCAAATGCCTTCCCACACACACTGCACTTAAAGGGTTTCTCACCCGTGTGTGTTCTCTGGTGTGCTACAAGAGGAGATGAATGTGCAAACGCCTTCCCACACACACTGCACTTGAAGGGTTTCTCTCCCGTGTGTGTTTTCTGGTGTATTTGAAGATGTGGTGAATGTGAAAACGCCTTCCCACACACACTGCACTTGAAGGGTTTCTCTCCCGTGTGTGTTCTCTGGTGTGCTACAAGAGCAGATGACTGTGAAAATGCCTTCCCGCACACACTGCACTTGAAGGGTTTCTCTCCTGTGTGAGTTATCTGGTGCCGTGTCAAATGTGCAGGACGATCCGTGCTGTTTGCACGCCAGTTGCATTGATGCCTGTTTGCACCGAGCTGCGCTGAGTGACTCTGCTCCATCAGACAAATTCTGCAGAGGAAGCGACAGCTGCAGAGAGAAAAAAAAGAATATCCACACCATCTACACGTCAGTATTGAGGCACAGAGGAATGCATACACACAGTAACACATGACTTACACATCTATACTTATTCATATATTCATGATATAGTGAAAAAGTGTCCCATATTCATCACACGGGCTGTTATGGCACACAACGAGAGGGTGAATGTCATAAACATGCCTGGAAGCCCTCGTATCTTCAAAATGAATGTTAACCCAAAACTCCGAGCACACAATTTCGGCTATCTGGCTTCAAAAGGAATATTTATGAAAGCTAAATTCAGCTGACATAGCAAAGGGTGTTGAAAATAATACTGTTTGTGTTATGCAGAAATGCATAAATTAATGTTCAATCGCAACTTAGAGGTGTGAAGCCAGGCACAGATGTCCTTGAATGCTGGGATGAACAGTTCTGACTTCAACTGCACATGTGCTGTGATAACTTCCTGACTCCATTCTTACAAAAAGTTCCAGAGGAAATCAAAAATAAACTGTTTTGATATAACCTCCGTGCTCAATAGAGTTAATAGACTTTACTGCAAAATACAAACTTGACCCTGTCACACACTCAGAGGTGGAGCCAGGATTTTCAGGAAGATGGGGCAACCCCTTCAGCAATGAAAAATGATAGGAGTTGTTAGTAAGTAAGGAGTTGTTAGTAAGTAAGTTGTTAGTATGTAAGGAGTTGTTAGTAAGCGAGGAGTTGTTAGTAAGGAGTTGTTAGTAAGGAGTTGTTAGTTAGTAAGGGCTTGTCCCTTGCTTTTTATTTGACGCGTATGATAGGCATCGCGCTCGCTGAAGATGTTTGCCATCAGGGAAGTCGTGTACTGTATACGCAACTGCGCACAATTCTGTGAGTCGCTTGTAACAGCTTTGCCGTGACTTATTGCCAATTTTGAACTCGGACTGTTGTCCTCTCATAGAGTCCCTGGCACGTAATAATATGCCACACGGTGGCAGTGGGGGTCGCAAAATGCTGATTTATCTATATTTATAAAAGGGAAATGTGTGGATATGTGTCTGTTCGAAAGTGTTTAGCATACTTCCCAACATGCTACACACTTGAAATTTGGCATGTGGGTAGGTTCCGTACTGTACACAATGAACAAAGTATAAAAATATAAGGAGGGAGGAAAGACGGACAGGGAGGCAGAGAGAGAGAGAGGGGGAGGTGCGGAGGGATGAACAGAAGCTTACATAGGAAATACGGTTGGAGGGGGGGAGGGGCCAGAGCGAGAGCGGCAGCTCAAACACGCACATCTTACACATACAAAACGGCAGCTCAAAAAAGGACCACCTCTTGTAAATACAAAATGGCAGCTCAAAAAAGGACCACCTCTTGTAAATACAAAACGGCAGCTCAAAAAAGGGCACATCTTACACATAATTACAACGGTAACTTCCCCGTAGAAGTGTGATAATAAAGTATTAAAGCTTTCGTGACTGCATAAAATTACTCATTGGTTTTTTCGGTAAAGTCACGTATGTAGAAATACAATAAAATTATATTAAAAAAAACAATCACGACGTTTCGATCACAACGCAAGCGATCTTCATCAGGTGTCAAGAACAAATCACGGAGGTAAATACAACAAAAAGATGAGAGACGAGAATTCAACAAACCTGAAAAAACATTATGTGAAGCACATCCAGTCAGGCCAACAACACAGTTAGACACTTCCCAGCAGACCACGAATTTCAGGAGAGTGTTAAATTTCGTATTCAACCTTTGGATTGCACATACCAGCATAGATAGAATGAAAAATACGAGGTTCTACATACGTGACTTTACCAAAAAAAACAATGAGTAATTTTATGCAGTCACGAAAGCTTTAATACTTTATTATCACACTTCTACGGGGAAGTTACCGTTGTAATTACGTGTAAGATGTGCCCTTTTTTGAGCTGACATTTTGTATTTACAAGAGGTGGTCATTTTTTGAGCTGCCGTTTTGTATCTACAAGAGGTGGTCCTTTTTTGAGCTGCCGTTTTGTATGTGTAAGATGTGCGTGTTTGAGCTGCCACTCTCGCTCTGGCCCCTCCCCCCCTCCAACCGTATTTCCTATTTAAGCTTCTGTTCATCCCTCCGCCCCCCCCTCTCTCTCTGCCTCCCTGTCCGTCTTTCCTCCCCCCTTACCTCTTGGTGGACATGTATATGTATTTCTACTGACCTTGTACCTCGTATTTTTTATTCTATCTATGCTGGTATTTGCAATCCAAAGGTTGAACACGAAATTTAACACTCTTCTAAAATTCGTGGAATGCCAGGAAGTGTCTGTGTTGTTGGCCTGACTGGATGTGCTTCACATGTTTTTTCAGGTTTGTTGAATTCTCGTCTCTCATCTTTTTGTTGTATTTACCCCCCCCCCCCCCCCTCTCTCTGCCTCCCTGTCCATCTTTCCTCCCCCCTTACCTCTTGGTGGACATGTATATGTATTTCTACTGACCTTGTACCTCGTATTTTTTATTCTATCTATGCTGGTATTTGCAATCCAAAGGTTGAACACGAAATTGAATACTCTTCTGAAATTCGTGGTCCGCCAGGAAGTGTCTGTGTTGTTGGCCTGACTGGATGTGCTTCACATATTTTTCAGGTTTGTTGAATTCTCGTCTCTCATCTTTTTGTTGTATTTACCTCCGTGATTTGTTCTTGACACCTGATGAAGATCGCTTGCATTGTGATCGAAGCGTCGTGATTGTTTTTTGTTTAAATATAATTTTATTGTATTTCTACATACGTGACTTTACCGAAAAAACCAATGAGTAATTTTATGCAGTCACGAAAGCTTTAATACTTTATTATAAAAATATATTTTTGTATTTTGTATGACCATGAAGTTTGTTATGTCAACCCGCAACACACCTGAGTTAAGCGCTCTGCAATGCTTAGAGCTGTTCACAGCGTGCCGGGAGATTTTAAGTGGTGCGTCGCTTCTGGCCGATGAAGCCATTGGTTTCTCGGAGTTTCAATACATATCCGTGCGAAGAACGGGTAGAACGGCTATCTTAAATATGAAGCAGAAAATTACATTTGTTTGTTTGTGTGAAGCAGCAAAACCTCTCCAACGCTGAGCTTTGGCGTCATGAAATTTTCACAGCTTATGCTGTTTGGAATTTCTAAGTGAACGCGACTATTTTCAGCTCGCCACGTCATTCATTCCAGAGTGGCGAAAATCGACCTTGCGTAGAAGTGGATTAAGGTTAAATTTCCTTGAGTGAAAACAACCGATTTAGGTAACTTGATTTGTTTTAGCTTTTTTCCTTCTTGCAAGCATCAACATTTAAGGGTTTTTCAGTGAAATATAAGGTAATATGAAATATATCCAAGACAAGAATCCAAGTTACGGGCGAAGCCGGGTAGTGAAGCTAGTTACTAATAAACCCCAATGATCCAATCGAAATTAGGGATTTCGATCGGACTGTTGGGAGGGCACGTGCCACCCCACCCCCACTGGCTCCACCACTGTCACGGACTGGCATGCTACACTGGTGATGGTGTGTCCACACCGATGCCTGGCCACGTTCACCTGCTCAGAATTAATGCTTCCTCACTCCACCAAGCAAATTCATTGAGGATCAATCAACACAGCCGAAGTTGCGTGTCTCTATCTCTCTTCCCGTGGTTGCGTGGATTTCCTTCCCGATACCCGGGTTTCCCATCCACATGTAGAGTGTGAACACCACCACGCTTCTAGAGTGAACACCGCCACGCGTCTAGAGTGAACACCGCCACGCGTCTAGAGTGAACACCGCCACACGTCTAGAGTGAACACCGCCACGCGTCTAGAGTGAACACCGCCACGCTGTTGACGAGCCTCACCTTGTGATGTCGGCAGGTCGCTTCTAAAAACAAAAGCAGCACAGCAGCTCAAGCGGGCCTGGCCTGGTAAAAAAAGAATGAAATAAAAACTGCGTGAATATTTAAAAGTAAAACAAAGTGACAAAGTGGCGAGCCGAGTGAAGACAAATTAAACTTAAGCGAGAGAATTGAAGCAAACGCGATCAGGCGAGGGCAGGAGGCAAGGCCCCGGGTGGCTAGGCCCCGCGCTGTAAAGTTCCAACCTGGACATCGCTTCCATGCTCGCTGCTACTCAATTGACATCCCTACGAGAGAGACAGCGAGGCTCTACCTCGGTAAACAACAACCACCACCACAACCACCACCACCACAACAACCACCACCACCACCAGTACAACCACCACCACCACTACAACCACCACCACCACTACAACCACCACCACCACTACAACCACCACCAACACAACCACCACCAACACAACAACCACCACCACATCAACCACAACCACCACCACAACAACCACCACCACAACAACAACCACAACAACAACCACCACCACAACCACCACAACAACCACCATGACAACCACCACAACAACCACCACCACAACCACAACAACAACAAACACCACAACAACCATTACCACCATAACAACCACAACCACCACCACTACAACAAACACCACCACAACAACAACAACCACTAGCACAACAACCACTACCACAACAATCACCACCACAACTATCACCACAACAACCACCACCACAGCCACCACCACAACCACAACCCCCACAACCACCACAACAACCACCACCCCACAACCACTACCACAACAACCACTACCACAACAACCACTACCACAACAACCACCACCACAATCACCAGAACTACCACCACAACAACCACTACCACAACAATAACCACCACAACTATCACCACAACAACCACCACCACAGCCACAACCCCCACAATCACAACCACCACAACAACCACCACAGCCACCACCACAACCACCACCACAACAACCACCACCACAACCACCACCAAAACCACAAC